GATGAATGTGGAAGTTCGTGTCGAGGGGGTTGACAGCCGTCAGTTCGCCCTGGTGATGGAGACATGTTGGGCTACACCTGTGAATGATCCTGATCACAGTCTCCGCTGGGATCTCATCGTTACAGAGTAAAGCTGTTTCTTTCTTTCTTTTTTAAAGCTCATTCTTAACTGTAACTAACATAAAAAAACATTTAAACTTTTGATAGATTTAATAAATAATAATTGACAATTTTAGGATTTGTATTTATTTGGATTTAGTATTTATCAATATTTCAGGACTAAAGCACAAGGTTCCATTTTTGTACATAGAATGCAAATGTGTGATGATTTACAGGAAATCACTTTTGAGTTGAATGCCTTTCAAGTTAACAATTTGATTTGTTGATTGTCAATATTCTCAGGTGTCCCAATCCAAATGACGACACAGTGGAGCTGCTGCAGAACGGCGTCTCGACATCCAGCCGTTTCTCCTTCAGGATGTTTATCTTCACTGCAAACTCCACTAAGCTTTACCTGCACTGCGCTGTTCACCTGTGCCTTCTGTCAAGCAATCGCTGCTCAACGGTGAGTTTACAAAACTCACTAAAAGTAATTGATTGTATCAAAATTAAGGTTCAATCAGAAAAGAAGGATTCACAGTCAGGCAGCTATTTCAATATCATCTCCAAAAAAAAAAAAATCCATATATAAGCATCAAGTCAGTCTAGCTTCCTCTTCCCCATCAGCTCTGGAGCTTTTTAAACACACTCTTGTCATCACTGAAAGTGGAAACCGCTGTTATTAATCAATCGACTTCTTTCTTTACCGCAGCTCCCACAGTCATCTGAGGTACAATGGTGGAAACTAGTATAACTATTTATAGGCAAACAGACCAAAGCAGTAACTGATTTAGAGAATGGCATTGTTACCAACATAAACATTGTTTTGTGAATATAGTGAATGTACAGCAAATGTGATGCTACTAAACAATTTCTGAAAAGCCAAGACTTTCACAAATAACGGTTCCAAAAAAATGTACTCAGAAATGTGATTAAATATCAGCAATATTGAACGGGGATTTTCACAGCTGGATTTTCCCTTTTTGTTTTTAGGACTGTAACTCTGGACACCAGCGGAGAGAGCGCAGGTCTCTGGACTTCCATGACAGTGCTTCCATATCCATGGGTCCTCTGATGTTGTCTGAAGGGAACACAGGTGAACATTTCATTTATTTTAAT